ACTATCAAGGGGAGAGGTTGGAGCAGGGGAGGGAAACAAGCACACAGCCTGACTTTATTATGTGCTGGAGGAGCTTTGCTCTCAAGTGCTCACTTGGCTCCTCTGGCCATCACCAGGAGCCAGGTGTGACAGCCAGGGCACAGTACCTGTGAGGGTGTGGAGCAGCTGAATGGGGTGATGTGCCCTGGGCAGGGTGGGATGGGAGTGACCCTGAGGCTCCACAGACTTCGCCCCCCAGGCCATGAGGTTGGAGGGTTCTTCCAGGACTTCTCCGAGCAGCACTTTGGGTCTCTTGCAGACGAAGGCTCTGATTGATAAGCTGCAGAAGCTGGTGTCGTCAGAGGGCAGGTTCAAGAACCTGAGGGAGGCACTGAAAAAGTGAGTGAACAGTGATTCATCTCCTGTGGCTGCTGCCAGCCAGTCTGGGGTCCTGCAGTGCAGGGGGAGCTGGATCCCTCCAGCTCCACACTGGCTGGGGCTCTGCTCACATGCTCATTTCAGAGCCTGTACTAAAGTGTGTCCTGTGGAGTTGGCACAGTGACTGGAAAAGTGATCCCCAGGAGTGAGCTGCTCCTTTGAGCAGTGGTGTGGAAATATGGGAATAAAAGGCATTACAAAGGGGCAAGTCACTGCCAGACACCAGGGAACATTTTTTTCTGATCACTCTCATAAAACCCCAGGTTTGGGTGGAAGGGACCTTAGAGATCACATTGTTCCATCCTCCTGCCATGGGCAGGGACACCTTCCACTAGAACAGGTTGCTCAGGGAAGCTTTCAAAGCTTTTCCTGGCCCTCTGCCAAAGCTTCCCCCAGCTCACATCCTGCATCCCGTGGCTTCGTGAGGGGTACAACTGCAGGTCCTGTTTGTCCTGCCCAGCTATCCTAGGGAGAGGCTTCCTATGTCAGAGCATCCTTCCAATTCTACTGGCTGTGGAGTCCCCACCTCTTCCTCCTCCAAAGTCCCCAGGTAAGGCAGTTTGCTTCCTTATTCCTTTCTGGTTTGCTCCCGAAGTTGTGACCCTCCATGCGTCCCCTACCTGGGAATGTACCTGACTGACCTGGCATTCATTGAGGAGGGGACCCCGAACTACACCGAGGATGGCCTGGTGAACTTCTCCAAAATGAGGATGGTGAGTGTCCCAGCCCTGCTGGGATGGATGTGGGGCTGAGCTGGGGTGGTGTGATTGTGACCAGGTCTGTGTCCTCTCATCTGGCTGTCACCTGCACAGCACCAGGCAGCCACGTGTGTCCCCTGCACACACCTGGGGTTGTTCCTGGTGTCTGGAAGAGACAAAAAGGCTCTTTGCACTGTGCTGTGCCAGGTGCCCCTGCCCTCCCGGGCACTGGGATGTGCTGGGGGTGGTGGATGAACCATGAATGCCTTCTGTGTTTTATCCCTGGACAGATCTCGCACATAATAAGGGAGATCCGCCAGTTCCAGCAAACCTCCTACAAGATTGAGCACCAGCCTAAGGTACAGCCTTGTCCCCAAAGCCTTACACTCTCCCTGCACCTCATCTCCCTCTCTCATCACAGCTCCAAAGCCTTCAGTTCCTGGCAGCTCTGTGCCAGAGTGGTGGCTATGCCTTGCTGGAGGCTGTCAGCGGTGGGGCAGGGGATGAGGGGTGCCTGTGGGGGCTGCAGCAGGCTCCCCTGTGCCTCCCAGGCTGCTGCAGCAGAGCCATTGCTGCAGACAGCAGCTCCCGTGGATGTGACAGCTGTCAGGCCAGGCAGGCAGTGATGCAGCCAGGCTGGATGAGGCCTTGAGCATCCTGATCTAGTGAGGAGGTGTCCCTGCCCATGGCGGGAGGGGTTGTGACTAGGTGATCTGTAAGGTCCATTCCAACCCCTAAAATTCTATAATTCTATGACTGGAGTGCTCCTGGGGCTGCACCCTGGAGTGGCTGAGAAACAGCTCTTCAGGTGCATCACCCCCTTCCCAGGGAACAGAGCTTGTCCCACTGCCCCCACAGCCCAGGGCCAGGTGGCCTCTGCCTCGTGGTGGCCCCCAGTGTGTGATGAGCTGAAAGGTCTCAGCCGCCCTCGCACTTCCTCTGTCACAGCACCGTGGCGCCGCCCAGGAAACAAGCTGAGTGCTGGGGGTTTCCACTGTCTCTGGCACTGCTGCTCTCCAAAACCAGCAAATCCCCCTGAAACTCTCCCAAAACTGCTGCTGCCCCACTGGCACCAGCCCAGTGCTCCAGCTGCGAGCTGCCAGGCCAGACCACCCTCGTGATACCAGTGTCTGAGTGCCATGGTAGGAGCAGCTTGAGTCCCTGCAGATCACAGCCCCTGGCCGTGGGGAGCTGCAGGCCCAGGTTTGAGCCCCTACAGCCCCAGCCCTGCCCTCCACCCTGTTGGTACCTGCTCAGGGCTGGGCTCATGCCACAGCCTTTTCCCAGCTGGACACCCCCATTATTCCCAGCCTCCTCCTGGCTTCTGCTCGGGAGTAAGATGAGCATCTTTGAAAGCAGCTCATTGCCCCCCAAAACCCCTCTGAAAGCAGCCACCACAGGAAGGGCAATGCAGGTGGTGCTGTGTGTGCCTGCACATCGTCTTGTCTCCCTGTGGAGATTGGATTCAGCCATATGGAAGCTCCTGGATGCTCCTGTGGGTGACAGGATGAAGTTCTGACTGTGCTGCCAGAGCTTCCTGGGCAAAGGTTCTGCTGTCAGTGGCTCCTCACAACGGCTGGTTCCAAACTCAGGGACAGCACCTTGCCCTGGCATGGACTGTGCCTGTCTTTGGTATCAGCTGCTAATGAGGACAGAAGGCAATATGGGAAAAATCTGCCTGGAATTGGGGGCAGATGGAGCAGGGATCCTGCCCTGGCAGCAGCATTC